AGGAGGAGGAGGAGGAGGAGGAGAAGGAGAAGAAGAAGAAGAAGAAGAAGAAGAAGAAGAAAAGTAGTCAGTATTAACAAGAGAGGTTTGTTATCTTCCTGCAGTATGTGTCTAAAACATGACAGAGAACCTCCCAAAACTTATCCAAATGGATGACAACTCTGCTTCTGGTCATACAAATGGCACTTCCAGAAGGAACCTTAAAAGTTATTTCTAAGAGTTATGAAGTCTTGACCAAGAAACTGAAGACCATAATGACATAGGTTGTGTTTTCCTTACTTTCACCAACTGAAGGCAAGAAGTAAAGAAAAGAGGGGAAAAAAAATGTTTTTCTAACTGACTTAAGAAGATAGTGTCTGAGAATGGGATTTGCATTTCTGGTTCATGGCTTACAACACAGAGTTAACAGGCTCTTGGCCAGAGATGGAGCATGCCTAACAAAGAATGGTATCATTGTGTTTGTCAGATGTCTGGTAAATCTAATCAAAAGGGCTTTAAACTAAAAAGGACTGAGGTGGGAGAAGGCTGGTTGTGTGTGTCCCTCAAGTTAGATACCATAGAGAATAATAAAAAAAAGAAGAAAATGCCAGTAGTAAAATCCATGGCCTGAGGTGTCTATAGACAAATGCCCAAAGTTTAGGGAATGAACTTGACAGGTTTTAATGCAAGGGGGCAAACTTGACCTCATAGGTATCACTGAAATTTAGTGGAATGAAAACCATGTCCGGACTATGCTCTGGAGAGGCATATTTTATTCAGAAGAAACAGGATAGGTAAAAGCAGGTAGGGTCTTGGGGGGGCGAGGGGGGAGAAGGGGTAGCATTGTATTCTAGGAATTACAATGTAAAGAAATACAGGAACCAGAGCAGGGAGTGACAGAGAGTATTTGGGTGAAGGTGAAAGTAGGGAGAAGGAAGTGACTTTGTTGCTGGGGTATACCACAGACCATTTGGACAGAAAGAGGAAATAGATGAGGAGCTTGAGAAGCAAATTGTAAGCCTGGCCCTGAGGCATGACGTAATACTGATTGAGCAGTTCAATTATCCAGAGAGAGCCCTCTCCCTGCCAAAAGCAGATAATTTCATGACTAATAATTTCATATTTTGCCTTAGTGATAATTTCATCCTTCAAAAAGCAGATAACAGTCTCAGGGAGGGAAATTGGAGGGAGGGACAGAATTTGGAACTCAAATTTTTTAAAAAATAAATGTTAAGGGCAAGCTAGGTGGCACAGTGGATAGAGCACTGGCTGTGGAGTCAGGAGGACCTGAGTTCAAATCCGGCCTTAGACACTTGACACTTACTAGCTGTGTGACCCTGGGCAAGTCACTTAACCCCAATTGCCTAACCAAAAAAAAAAAAAGACAGGAGACTTAGAGAGAAGTGACCACTCCATCCAGGAGTTTGTAATGAAAGAGAGGACATCTGGGCCTAGTTTGTCGTGTACCCTGTGTATGGGGAAAGCAGATTTCAAAGAATTCAAAGTAAAAAAAAAAAAAAAAAGTAGGATCCCATGGACTCAAAAACTTTAGGGGGAGGTCAGCCCAGGGGAGATGGGGAAAGCTCAAGAATGAAATTATGAAGACACAAAGGGAAACAATTACAAATAGGAGGATAAATTGGATTTATCTGATGAAACCAATGTGGATGCAAAGGGAACTCAACAACCAACTTAGATTTTGTAAACAAAAAAAAAAAGAAAAAGAAGCTCAGAAGCAGGAAGCAAGGCCAGGAAACAGCAGATGAATAAAAGGACATGGAACAGTCCTACTTTTAAAAAAGCTTAGAATGAGCTGAGACTGATGAAGGAAGCTCAAGGTAACAAAATGGTGGGGGCAGCCACATTTAGAGAAGAAAGGAGGGGTAAAGAAGAGACGGGACATTTGCTTCGGGTAGATAGGGTGGAATAACTGGCCACAGATGGGAGGCCAAGTTGCTTAAGTCTTAATTTTGTTTCTGTTTTCTCTTTTTAGGATAATGACCTTCTTACACTGGAAATAACAGAACAAACATGACAAAAAGAGAGTTGATACCCGAAATAAGTAAGGAGAGATTAAGAGAGCACCTAGCCACCCTTGATGAGTTCAAGTCACCTGGCCCAAGGCTACTGTGTCCTCAAGTTCTAATACAAGGGGGAAGGGGGAAAAAAGCATTCATTAAGGGCCTACTATGTGCCAGGCACTGTGCTAAGTATACTACTTTACAAATATTATCTCGTTTGATAAGTGGCTGATACCATTGCTGAACCATTGCCCATGATATTTAAAAGCTCTTGGAGTATAGGAGAGGCACCCCAATATTGGAGAAGGGTCAGTGTTGTCCTGATTTTCAACAAAAGAAAGAGAAAAGAGTATTGTATCCATTTTACAAATGAGGCAATCCGGAGTCAGAGAGGTTTAATGGGATGCATCATGGCTAGGAGGTGGCCTCTATCTGCCCACAACTGACAACTGACTCTTTTTGTTGTTATCATTCAGTCGTTTTCAGTCCTGTCTGACTCTTCATCACCCCACTTAGGGTTTTCTTGGCAAAGATACTGGAGTGGTTTACCATTTCCTTGCCCATTTTACAGATGAGGAAACTGAGGCAAACAGGATGAAGTGACTTGCCCAGGGTCACACAGTTAGTAAGTGTCTGAGGTCAGATTTGAACTCATGAAGATGAGTCTTCCTGACTCTATGCACTCTGGCGCCACCTAACAGCCCAAAAAGAAGGCTTTTAGTTCCACTACATGAGCCACTCATATAGCTGGAAAAAAAAAAAAAAAAGACAGCGTCCAACCCAGGAGTCCATGGCTACAGATGAGATAATTTCCTGGCTAGGCTCTTTGGGTGGTGGGTGGATGATAATCTTTAAAATTCAGGATGACATAGAGCTGTAAGGCATGTCATGTCAGGACCTGCACAAGCACTCAGCCTGGCCAGACTTCTTTAAATCCCATTTATTCAGATGAGGGTCATGATATTCCCTCCATACTGATCAAGTCGATCTCTCATTGCCTCACTGCTTCCAGTTCTGCATCAGGGAGATCCCAAAGTACTTCCCCTGTACACATCGTGTACTTCTCCCCCCCCCCCCCCCCCCCCCCTTTTCATGCTGTTATAGCAAGCATATTGGCAAGGTTTAGCTTAATCCCACAGCTGCTCCAGGGGATTGGCTGAGCTCATCACATTCCAATTCCCATAGATAGAACCATAGCTTCTCTGCATCTCGTGTGTCATGCTCTATCTTTTTGTGTGATTCCAGCTGCGGTTCATGGGTACCATTTCATAGAAAACTCATCCAAGGCCTGAAAGGAACACAGTAAGCAGGTCAAATCTCTGGCCACTGCCAGAAGGTCAAGGTCTTTTGCCTCAACTGCAGGTTCAAAGGCACCACAATCTCTTTTATTCTAAAATGCACTATTTTCTGGAAACTAGATTTGGTTCATGGCTCTTTATAATTGATGAACTCACTTCCTTATCTTTATGGTTCATTGTTTTAGTTGTGTCCAACTCGTCATGACCCCATTTAGGGTTTTCTTGGCAGAGATACTGGAGTGGTTTGCCCTTTCCTTCTCTAGTTCATTTTACAGATGAGGAAACCGAGGCAAACAGGGTTAAGTGACTTGCCCAGGGTCACCCAGCTAGTAAGTGAGGCCAGATTTGAACTCGGGCAATTACTGCTTGTTGGCCCTGGACAAGTCAATTAACCTCTCTAGCCCTCAATTTATTGACCTATAAAATGAAGGTGTTGGACTGAATGACCCGAAAAATCCCTTCTCATTATAGATCTATAATCTTATGCAGCCTCAGAGTAAAAGCAACAGAGTTGAGCTGGGGTGACCAACGTGTCTGTCATACTTCCGGATCGGCAGTAGGTCACTCCAGACACCAGACACCGACCTCGATTTCCAGACTGTCTAGGTCAATTTCATTACTCTCTTCCATATGTCTTAGGATCAGTGTTCCCACCGAGCCAGCAAAGTAACCAGCGTGGTACCATCTTTCCATATGTCAATTGCTTCTTTATGCATCCTGAACCACATTTCATCCTCATCCATTATGGATGGGAATATAGATTAATTGGCACTTACTGCTGTTAGTACAAGGTGAGAACAGTCTTGAGGACAGACATTTGTCCAGGTGACATTTTAAATAGTAACACCCTAGAATGGGTCAGTAAGCTTAT